CATTGAGAATCGTTGTGAGCTTTCCAAAATGGGGTTATGGGCCCAAAACGAACACCGTATACGAAGTTATGCTAATTTCTTCGAATGCTGACAATCCAAGTGTTCCATGTACGTAAGTGTCTATTACTCCACACGAATTCAAAATGCTAGAATTCATTCTACATCATAGGAAAGCTATGATTTCATTTAAAATCATCGTTAGATTTTTGAAATGGGGTTATGGGCCCAAAACGGACACTGTATGCGAAAATTATGCCAATTTATTTGAACGTCCACAATCCAAGCATTTCATGTACGCAAGCTCCTATTCTTCCACACGAATTCAAATTGCTAAAATCAATCATACATCATGGGAAAGCCATTTGTTCATTCAGAATGTTTGTGAGCTTTTTAAAATGGGGTTATGGGCCTAAAATAGACACCGTATGCAAATGTTATGCCAATTTCTTCGAACGTTGACAATCCAAGAGTTCCATGTACGCAAGCGCTTGTTCTTCCACACGAATTCAAACTGCTGAAATCCATCAGAGGTCACAATGAAGCTGTAAGTCCATTCCAAATCTTTGTGAGCTTTCCAAAATGTGGTGGTTATGGGCCTAAAATGGACACTGTATACGAAATTTATGCCAATTTCTTCGAACGTCGACAATCCAAGCGTTTTATGTTCGCAAGCGCCTATTCTTCCACACTAATTGAAACTATCAAAATCCATCATACATCATGGCGAAGTTGTTTATTTATTCAGAATTGTCGTGGGGCTTCCGAAATGGGGTTATGGGCCCAAAATAGACACCGTATGCGAAAGTTATGCCAATTTCTTTGAACGTCGACAATCTATGCGTTCTATATAAGCAAGTGCCCATTCTTCCACATGAATTCAAATTGCCAAAAAAATCATAGATTATGGCAAACTCGAGTTCATTCAGAATCGTTGTGAGCTTTTCGAAATGGGTTTATGGGCCCAAAACAGACACCATATGCGTAAGTTATGCCAATTTCTTCGAACGTCGACAATCCAAGCGTATGAGAAAGTTATGGGCTCAAAATGGACGTGAGATTTTCAAAATGTGGGGGGTTATGGGTTCAAAATGGACATCATATGAGAAAGTTATGCCAATTTCTTCGAACGTCGACAATCTAAGTGTTGCATGTGCGCAAGTACTCGTTCTTCCACACGAATTCAAACTGCTAAAATCCATCATAGGTCATGGTAAAGCTGCGAGTTCATTCAGAATCATCATGAGGTTTTTGAATTGTGGAAGGTTATGAGCCCAAAATGGACACCATATGCGAAAGTTATGCCAATTTCTTCGAACGTTGACAATCCAAGAGTTCCATGTACACAAGCGCCTGTTCTTTAACGAATTCAAAATGCTAAAATCTATCATACATCATGGTGAAGCTTTGAGTTCATTCAAAATCATGGTGAGCTTTCCAAAATGGTGTTATGGGCCCAAAACGGATATCATATGCGAAAGTTATGCCAATTTCTTCGAAAATCGACAATCCAAGCATTCCATGTACACAAGCGCCTATTCTTCTACACGAATTCAAACTGCTAAAACCTATCATACATCGTGGTGAAGCTAGGATATCATTTAGAATCGTCATGAGCTTTTCAAAATGTGGGGGGTTATGGGCCCAAAATGGACACCGTATGCGAAAGTTATGCCAATTTCTTCGAATGTCGACAATCCAAGCATTCCATTTATGCAAGCGCCTATTCTTCTACATGAATTCAAACTGCCAAAATCCATCAGACGTCACGATGAAGCTATGAGTTCAGTCAGAATCGTCATGAGCTTTTCAAAATTTGGGGGGGTTATGGGCCCAAAATGGACAACGTATGTGAAAGTTATGCCAATTTCTTCGAACGTCGACCATCCAAGCATTCTATGTACGTAACCGCCTGTTCTTCCAAATGAATTCAAACTGCCAATTTTATCGAACGTCGACAATCCAAGCGTTCCATGTACACAAGCTCCTACTCTTCTATATGATTTCAAACTGCTAAAATCCATCACATGGCATGGTGAAGGTACGAGTTCATTTAGAATTGTCGTGAGCTTTTCAAAATGTGGGGGGTTATGGGCCCAAAACGGACCCCATATACGACAGTTATGCCAATTTCTTCGAACGTCGACGATCCAAGTATTCCATGTATGCAAGCACCTATTCTTCTACAAGAATTCAAACTACCAAAATCCGTCATACATCTGCTACAACTTTAAGGTTGCAAACCCAAGTGCAGGTTGTCGCAAGTAGTAAATCTCAGAAGTTCGAGGTCGAACCACAGGGAATTGGAAGGAAATAAACTAGTCTATGAGTAGTGAACGATTGGCGGAAATACGGTGAAAGCGAACACTAGAGCATCGGGGATTCACTTCGGATAAATGAGTAGAAATTGCCCTTGATCGTTAATTTAACTCATATGAAAATCAACTAAGGAGTCATCTCATATGGAAGATAAAACATTAATCACAAATATATGAAAAGATAGATCTTGATAATTGTTTGAGAGAATATGTCAAAATAAGTTATTGGAATGTAGATATTATCTAAGCATTTATTGTGCCAAGATTGTCAACAATAAATCAAAGTCTTTAAGAAACCAAAACCATTTGTAGAACATATACTTCAACCAAGTAAGAAGATGAACATTGAAGAACAAAACGAAATATTAAAGACAATACTATGCATTCACCAAAGTTTCACCCCTAGCTCTAGCTAATGGTTTAGAAATAGATAATGAAATGTTACAAAGAAAATGAAGGAAACTAGAATATGATGGAGAGGATTGATTCTCTCAAAATCGTGGCCAAGGTCCCCTTTTATAGGCAAAGGAACATCCAAAATGCAAGTATGCAATGCAACTTGTTTCTGTCCAGCTTCAAGACAGCTGGAACATGCAACTTGATGCCAATTTTCAGATACATTGTGCAGTGAATTTGGACTTATGATCAACAGATAAATTATTTCCACTCAAGTTATATTTCCATTGGTCTAAATATCAGGTTCATTGGATCTATATAACTTCAGATATGACAAAAAAAATGAGTACTGCTTCACAGGTAGACAAGCTGTATCCGGCAAGTAACAAGCTGGACTTTGCATGGTAAGTTTGGCTACCTTGTAATACGAATTTGACTTCTTGCAAAACATGAAAGTTGTAGAAACATGCCTTATCATTCCAACCCAACTTGAATCACCTTGGTTCAATGTCTAAAGCTCATGTTATGATCATTTTACCAACAGCTGCTTCTTGCTTGAGATAGTCACTATTCTTGACTTTTCAACATTATTTTCGTCCACTTGTTCCACTTGTTCTAAATACATCAAATAGATACTCTTTCAAATGTATAATACTCATGCCGACATGTATGTAAATACATATTTCGATTAATTGCATTTTTAACCATGTATTTATGGAAATTGAATTTACGACGAGAGAATTAAAATTAGAGACTAACATTAGTATTTTTAAACAAAGTGAATGTAAAATGCTTTGTAAATGATATATCTTTGAAGCACTTTTAGACACTAATCACACTCCCCAACCACGATATTGCTTGTCTCTAGCAATAAAAATTCAAAAATAGTTCAAATAAAATAGCTTATCGCATTTGCCTTAGGATTTGAAATTGCTTATCAAAATTCTTCTAAGGTTTGCTACCAAAATATAGTCTAACTTGTCTAATGCTCGACCAACGTGTGTGTGTGCTTAATCAATTAAATCACATACTTTTTTAAATTGGACTCATCCGGACCCTCAATGGTCAACTATTTCTCTCTTCTCTCGTTGGATGCACACCCCCAAACTTGATTTTGTAACTATTTTCCCAAGGTGTGATTTATGGTTAAATTTAAATAATATTACTCACCCTCTCTAGTTTGGTTAGATTTTACTAATTGTAGCTCAACACATCAATAAATGAGGATTCTCCTTAATTTTAACTAACTCAACCTCCAAGAATCAACTAAGCTACTAATCCCTTATCAAAGGTCTAATTCCCTAAAATAAGTGTTTGGGACTTAATCAAGGCATGTAGTGCGTCTTCTGTTTCATGCACCTGCTTTTTCCAAAGTTTACCGTGTGTATTCTGTTTCATGCACTAGCCTGGTCTCTTTATATATATATAATTGTCCTCATTGGGCTCTTTTAGGGTAGCTTCACAACATGGCAGATTTTTCCCTTCTATATAATGATTAGTGTAATGCCCCTCATTAAACACTTATTCTCGAAAACCAATCTTTAACTTAAGATTTTCACCTAATTATCATCTCATTGGTCTTAAGCAATCCACACAAAATTTAACACACATGGAATCCACGTCTATCTCAATGTTTCCCCATAACAGCTCAACCACCCCAAACTATCCTAGAATTGGTTTAGTTGGAATTTTTTGTCAATTCTACATATTCTATCCATTGATCCAATCTAAATAATATGTGATTTTCACGATTATTGTGCTCAACGTAGATCAATCTAACATGAACAAGCTCAAACTAAATCAAAGCAGCATCCCCTAGTCACAATAATATAAAAACAATTTCAAATATTATCATCGGTCGGTAAGAACTTTTTTATTTTTTGAACATTTTGATTCCTTTCCTCCAACCTAAATGAAACATTGTCCTCAATGTAAAGATTAAACGTGCAAACTATGTGAAGGACAGTAAGGAGTAAAATTTTGACACAAAGGGATAGGTTTTAAGCTTTACCTAGAAAGTCTGCATAAACTTGGCCTAAATGATCCTTCAATTTCATTAGTGAAAAAAAAAACAACAATAAAAGAAATACACCTAAAACAAACACACAACATTATAAAACTAAAAAGAAACACACAAAAATAAAAGAAAGAGAAAAGGATATCAATCTTTAGAATCATTTATAGCAACAGACCTTCCAATCTAGAGAAATTCTCAAAAAATGGTTTCAAATCGAGCTTTGGCTCTTGAACACTGGAAATCATATGCGAATTTTTAGAATTATCATTGAATTAAAATTCTAGCGCATCAGATGAAGATGTAACGATAAACTGATCATCAACAAGTTGTTCAATAAGATCTACTTCCTGCAAATCATCTGTATCTCCATGTTGCTTGCAAATGTTAAAAATATTCATTTCCATAGTGATATTTCCAAAAGAGAGTTTCAAGATACCATTTCTACAATTTATCAACGCATTTGAAGTAGCAAGAAAGGGACGTCCTAAAATGACAAGTATTCGTGCATTTGAATTTAAAACAGGATGTGTGTCCAAAACTATAAAATCAATAAGATAATAGAATTTATCAATTTGAACTAGAACATCTTCTATAACCCCTCTTGGAACTTTTACTGAAGGATCAGCAAGTTGAAGTGTTGTTGCTGTTGGTTTAAGCTCTCCCAAACCAAGTTGCTCATATACAGAAAAAGGTAATAGATTAACACTAGCACCAAGATCAAGCAAAGCATGCTCTATCCTATTATTCCCAATCACACAAGAAATTGTTGGACAACCAGGATCTTTGAATTTAGGTAGAGTGTTTTGTTGAATGATTGAGCTCACATTCTCTGTCAAAAATGCTTTCTGTTGAACATTAAGTTTCCTCTTGACAGTGCACAAGTCATTTAAAAATTTTGCATATGAAGGAACTTGTTTGATTGCATCCAATAATGGTATGTTAATTTTGACTTGTTTGAAAAGTTCAAAAATTTCGGAATTATGGTTGAGTTTTGAAATTGGTTGCAATCGTTGAGGAAATGGAGCTGTAATGGGACATTTTTCAACAATAGGTTCAGAAATGATTTTTTTCTCACTTTTGGAAACGTCATTTTCTTGCTTTGAAGTCCCACCCGATTTTAGTTCTTTTGAAGGGATGGTTTTGTCAATAATTTTTCCACTACTAAGAGTCGTGATGGAGTTGGCATTTCCTTGTTGACTTTCAGAAGAACTAGAAGCATTTACTTTAAATTGCCCAGAAGGATTTGGTTGAGGTTGAGCAGAAAATTTGCCTTTCTCTTGAGAACATAAAGAAGAGGTCAATGAAGAAAGTGTGTTCTTGATTTCATTGATGGCTTGTGAAGTTTGATTATTAATATTTGCTTGTCCTTGCATAAAAGACTGCAATGTTTCCTCAAGAGTTTTTGATTGTGGTGGTGGAAAAGAAGGAAATTTTGAAAGCCCTTGAGGTTGTGATAAATGAACACGATTATCATCTCTCCAACTAAAGTTGGGATGATTTCTCCATTGTCGATTATATGTTTCTGAGTATGGAGAAGAAAAAGGCTTGTTGAAAGTGTTCATAGCATTAGCTTGATCATGTCAAACTTCTTTGAAAACGGAATGTTAGGACAATCATACGTAAGATGACCAAAGGTTTCACAAATGCTACAAATTTCATCATTTTGCCCGGGTTTAACTTCCTTTACTTTCCTTAATTCCATAGCTTCAACCTTTCTACACAACTAGTAATCCTAGCATTTAGATCATCATCTTGACTCAATTGACATTTTCCTCCACTAGAACTAGGAAGACTAGGTCTGATTGAGTTTTTGATTATTTTACTATTTGCCAAGACTGAGAATTTTCAGTTAGATGATCTAGAAATTCTAAAGCTTCATCTGGATCTTTATCTAAAAATTCACCATTGCACATCGTTTCTACAAATTGTTTTGTTTCAGGAGTTAAGCCTTCATAAAAGAAACTTATAGTATGCCATTTTTCAAAACCATGATGTGGGCATGTATTTAACAAATCTTCAAATCTTTCTAAACATTGAAAGTACACTTCATTGGTTTTTTGAGAAAAGTTTTGGATTTGCCTTTTCAAAGCATTAGTTTTATGTGCTGGAAAGAATTTCTTCAAAAACTCACTTTGCATTTCTTGCCATGTGCCAATCGACTTAGGTTTTAAAGAGTTAAGCCAAGTTTTTGCTTTATCTTTTAGAGAAAAAGGAAACAATTTCAACTTAACAATTTCATTGGGACAAGTTTGATCGTTAAATGTGGCACATACTTCCTCAAATTCTTTAAGATGCAGATATGGACTTTCGGATTCTAAGCCATGAAAATTAGGAAGTAATGGAATCATACCCGGCTTGAATCGAAAATTATTAGCATTAAGAGGGAAAATGAAACATGAAGGACCAGAATTTTGAGGAGGTTGCAAGTGTCACGCATGGTTCGTACTTGTTGGTTTTCATTTTCATCATGTATGCTTTCATTATCAGCCATAGTAGAAGATGTGAGTGAGTGTTGAGGTGAGTCAAATAAATTACTAAAGAAAGTTTCACAATTATCTTTAACTAAACGATAAGAATATAATTCACAATACCAATATGACATAAAATAACATAAGATAGAAGTAAAGAACGAAAATTAGGTGGCACGACGAACCACATAATAATGAAATGGCAGATCGGGAGGCTCGACCTTCCCTTTTAAAGAAAGAAAATAAATAGAAAATAAAAATGAAGGAGGCTCGACCTTCCGTTAAAGTAAAATAACTAAAGTAATAAGATTGAAAAAGGAACGAGTGTACCTGATTTAAGAAGATTATGACAGAGAAGAAAACCTCACAGAAAGTAGCAGAAAATAATCCTTGACGCAAATCCCTGGCAACAGCGCCAAAAACTTGCTGCAACTTTAAGGTTGCAAACCCAAGTGCAGGTTGTCACAAGTAGTAAATCTCGGAGGTCCGAGGTCGAACCACAGGGAATCGGAAGGAAATAAACTAGTCTATGAGTAGTGAACGGTTGGTGGAAATACGATGAAGACGAACACTAGAGCATTGGGGATTCACTTCGGATAAATGAGTAGAAATTGCCGTTGATCTTTAATTTAACTCATATGAAAATCAACTAAGGAGTCATCTCATATGGAAGATAAAACATTAATCACAAATATATTAAAAGATAGATCTTGATAATTGTTTGAGAGAATATGTCAAAATAAGTTGTTGGAATGTAGAGATTATCTAAGAATTTATTGTGCCAAAATTGTCAACAATAAATCAAAGTCTTTAATAAACCAAAACCATTTGTAGAACATATACTTCAACCAAGTAAGAAGATGAACATTGAAGAACAAAATGAAAGATCAAAGACAATACTATGCATTCACCAAAGTTTCACCCCCAGCTCTAGCTAATGGTTTAGAAATACATAATGAAATGTTACAAAGAAAATGAAAGAAACTAGAATATGATGGAGAGGATTGATTCTCTCAAAATCGTGGGCAAGGTCTCCTTTTATAGGTAAAGGAACATCCAAAATGCAAGTAGACAATGCAACTTGTTTCTGTCCAGCTTCAAGATAGTTGGAATATGCAACTTGATGCCAATTTTCAGATACATTGTGCAGCGAATTTGGACTTATGATCAACAGATAAATTATTTCCACTCGAGTTATCTTTCCATTGGTCCAAATATCAGGTTCATTGGATCTATATAACTCCAGATATGACAAAAACAATGAGTACTGCTTCACAGGTAGACAAGCTGGACATTGCACGGCAATTTTGGCTGCCTTGTAGTACGAATTTGACTTCTTGCAAAAACATGAAGTTGTAGAAACATGCCTTATCTTTCCAACCCAACTTGAATCACCTCAGTTAAATGTCTGAAGCTCATGTTATGATCATTTTACCAACAGCTGCTTCTTGCTTGAGATAGTCACTATTCTTGACTTTTCAACATTATTTTCGTCCACTTGCTCCACTTGTTCTAAATTGGAAATACATGTGAAATAAATCAAATAGATACTCTTTCAAATGTATAATACTCATGCCGACACGTATGTAAATACGTTTTTCAATTAATTGTATTTTTAACCATGTATTTATGGAAATTGAATTTACAGCAAGAGAATTGAAATTAGAGATTAACATTAGTATTTTTAAACAAAGTGAATGTAAAATGTCCTGTAAATGATATATCTTTGAAGCACTTTTAGACACTAATCAACGTCACAGCGAAGCTACGAGTTCATTTAGAATCTTCATGAGCTTTGAAGTTTGGGGGGGTTATGGACCCAAAATGGACGCCGTATGCAAAAGTTATGCCAATTTCTTCGAACGTCGACAATCCAAAAGTTCCATTTATGCAAGCGCCTATTTTTCCACATGAATTCAAATTGATAATATCTATCATACGTCATGATGAAGCTATGATTTCATTCAGAATCATCATAAGCTTTTAAAAACGGTGTTACAGGCCCAAAATGGACACCGTATGCGAAAGTTATGCCAGTTTCTTCGAAAGTCAACAATCCAAGCGTTCCATGTACGCAAGCACCTATTCTTCTACACGAATTCCAACTGCCAAAATTCATCATCCATCACGGCGAAGCAACGAGTTCATTCAGAATTGTCATGAACTTTTTGAAATGTGGGGGGTTATGGGCCCAAAATGGACACCGTATGATGCGAAAGTTATGCTAATTTCTTCGAATGTCGACAATCTAAGCATACCATGTACGCAAGCGCCTTTTCTTCCACATGAATTCAAACAGCAGAAATTCATCATACATCACAGCTAAGCTACGAGTTCAATTAGAGTCACCATGAGCTTTCCAAAATGTGAGGGGTTATGGGCCCAAAACGGACACCATATTCAAAAGTTATGCCAATTTCTTCAAACGTCGACAATCCAAGCATTCCATGTACACAAGTGCATGTTCTTCCACATGAATTCAACTATCGAAATCCATCATACGTCATGACGATACTACGAGTTCAATTAGAATCACCGCGAGCTTTTTGAAATGTGAGGGATTATGGCCCCAAAATGGACACTGTATGTGAAAATTATGCAAATTTCTTCGAACTACGACAATCGAAGCATTCCATGTACGCAAGCGCCTACTCTTCCACACAAATTCAAACTGTTGAAATCCATCATACGTCACGATTAGGCTGTGAGTTCATTTAGAATCGTCATGAGCTTTTCGAAATGTGAGGGGTTATGGGGCCTAAACGGACACCGTATGCGAAAGTTATGCCAATTTCTTCAAACGTCGACAATCCAAGCATTCCATGTACGCAAGCAACTATTCTTCCACACAAATTGAAACTGCCAAAATCTATCATACGTCACGATGAAGCTACATGTTCAATTAGAATCACCGCGAGCTTTTCGAAATGTGAGGGGTTATGGGCCCAAAACGAACACCGTATGCGAAAGTTATGTCAATCTCTTCGAATGTCGACAATCCAAGCATTCTATGTACGCAAGCGCCTATTCTTCCACACGAATGCAAACTGCCAAAATCCATCATACGTCACGGTGAAGCTATGAGTTCATTTAGAATCGCTGAGAGCTTTTCGAAATATGAGGGGTTATGGGCCCAAAACGAACACTGTATGTGAAAGTTATGCCAATTTCTTCGAACGTTGACAATCCAAGTGTTCCATGTACACAAGTGCCTGTTCTTCCACACGAATTCAAACTGTCAAAATCCACCATACGTCATGAAGAAGCTGCAAGTTCATTTAGAATTACTGAGAGCTTTTCGAAATGTGAGGGGTTATAGGCCAGAAACGGACACAGTATGCGAAAATTATGCCAATTTCTTCGAACGTTGACAATCTTAGCGTTCCATGTACGCAAGCGCATTTCTTCCACCCAAATTCAAACTGCCAAAATCCATAATACTTCATGACAAAGCTGCGAGTTCATTTAGAATTGCCGCGAGCTTTCCAAAATGTGAGGGGTTATGGGCCCAAAACGAACACCGTATGCGAACGTTATGCCAATTTCTTCGAACATCGACAATCCAAGCGTTCCATGTACGCAAGCGCTTGTTCTTCCACAAAAATTAAAACCGTCGAAATCCATCACATATCACGATAAAGCTGTTTGTTCCTTCAAAATCATCATGAGCTTTTCAAAATGTGGGGTTATGGGCCCAAAACGGACACCGTATGCGAAAGTTATGTCAATTTCTTCGAACGTTGACAATCCAAGCATTCCATGTATGCAAGCGCCTATTCTGCCACACGAATTCAAACTGCCAAATTTCATCATACTTCTTGATGAAGCTATGAGTTCATTCAAAATCATTGCGAGGTTTTCAAAATGTACGAGTTTATGGGCCCAAAATGGACACAGTATGCAAAAGTTATGCTAATTTCTTCGAACGTTGACAATCCAAGCGTTTTATGTACGCAAGCGCCTATTCTTCCACACGAATTGAAATTGTTGAAATCCATCATACGCCATGATGAAGCTGCAAGTTCTTTCAGATTCATCGTGAGCTTTCCAAAATGTGGGGGTTCTGGGCCGAAAACAGACATCGTATGCGAAAGCCATGCCAATCTCTTCGCATTGACAATCCAAGCGTTCCATGTGCGCAAGTGCTTATACTTCCACACGAATTCAAGCTACTGAATTCCATCATACATCTCGACAAAGCTATGGATTCATTTAGAATCATGGTGATCCTTTCGAAATGGGGTTATGGGCCCAAAAACGACGCAGTATGCGAAAGTTATGCCAATTTTTTCGAACATCGACCATCAAAGCGTTCCGTATGCGCAAGCGCATGTTCTTCCACATGGATTCAAATTGTTGAAATCCATCATACGTCATGGAGAACCTAAGAATTCATTCAAAATCATCGTGACTTTCGAAAATGGGGTTATGGGGGCAAAACGGACACCGTATGCGAAAGTTATTCCAATTTCTTCAAACGTTGACAATCCAAGCATTCCATGTACGCAATCGCCTGTTCTTCCACATAAATTCAAACTTCCAAAATCCATCATACGTCACGGTGGAGTTACAAGTACAATTAGAATCGTCGCGAGCTTTCCAAAATGTGAGAGGTTATGGGCCCAAAATGGACACCGTATGAGAAAGTTATGCCAATTTCTTCGAACGTCGACAATCCATGCGTTCCTTGTACGCAAGCACCTGTTCTTCCACACAAATTCAGACTGCCAAAATCCATCACACGTCTCGACAATGCTGGAAGTTCATTTAAAATTACCGCAAGCTTCCCAAAATGTGAGGGGTTACGTGCCCAAAACGAACACCGTATGCGAAAGTTATACCAATTTCTTCGAATGTCGACAACCCAAGTGTTCCATGTATGCAAGCACCTATTCTTTCACATGAAGTCAAACTATTAAAATCCATCATACATCATGATGAAGCTATGAGTTTATTCAGGACCATCGCGAGCTTTCTAAAATGGGTTTATTGGTCCAAAACGGACACCGTATGCGAAAGTTATGCCAATTTCTTCAGACGTGGACAATCCATGCGTTCCATGCATGCAATCTCCTATTTTTCCACACTAATTCAAACTATCAAAATTTGTCATACATCATGACAAAGCTGTGAGTTCATTCTGAATGATCATGTGCTTTCCGAAATGGGGTTATGGGCACAAAATTGACACCATATGCAAAAGTTATTCCAATTTCTTCGAAGGTTGACAATCCAAGCGTTCTATGTACCCAAGTGCCTGTTCCCCCACATGAATTATAGCTGCCAACATCCATCATATGTCATAGAGAACCTAGGAGTTCAATTAGAATCATCGTGAGCTTTTCGAAATGGGGTTATGGGCCCAAAACGGACAGCGTCTCAGAAAGTTATGCCAATTTCTTCGAATGCCAACAATCCAAGCGTTCCATGTAAGCCAGCTCCTGTTCTTCCACACGAATTCAAACCACTAAAATCTATCATACATCATGGCAGAGCTGGGTGTTCATTCATAATCACTGTAAGCTTTTTGAAATGGGGTTATGGGCCAAAAACAAACGCCGTATATGAAAGTTATGCCAATTTCTTTGAACGTCAACAATCTAAGTGTTCCATGTATGCAAGCGCCTATTCTTTCACACAAATTCTAACTATCAAAATCCGTCATACATCATGGTGAAGCTAAGAGTTCATTCAACCATCGTGATCTTTTTGAAATGGAGTTATGGGCCAAAAACGGACAGCGTATGTGAAAGTTATGCTAATTTCTTCGAACGTCGACAATCCAAGCATTCCATGTATGCAATCTCCTATTTTTCCACACTAATTCAAATGGTTGACATCTATCATACATCACAATGAAGCTATGAGTTCATTTTGAATCATCGTGAGCTTTTTGAAATGGTGTTATGGACCCAAAACGGACACCGTATATTTTCGTTCGAACGTCGACAATCTAGGCATTCCATGTAGATAAGCGCCTATTCTTCCACACGAATTTAAACTGGAAAAACCTATCATATGCTATGAAGATGCTATGATTCAATCAGAAATTTTCATGAGCTTTTTGAATTGAGGTTATGGGTTCAAAACAGACATCGTATACAAAAGTTATGCCAATTTCTTCGAACGACGACAATCCAAGCGTTCCAGGTACTCAAAGGCCTGTTCATCCACGCAAATTCAAACTGTTAAAATCCATCATACATCATGACAAGGCTATAAGTTCATTTAGAATTGTCGTGAGCTTTTCGAAATGGGGTTATGAGACCAAAACGGACACCATATGTGAAAGTTATGCCAATTTCTTCGAACGTTGACAATCCAAGCGCTCCAGGTACGCAAGCGCCTGTTCTTCCTTACGAATTCAAACTGCCAAAATCCATCA